AAAGCCCCGTAGAGGAAGCAAACTCGAATGCCGAAAGCGATTAATAGGGACGGCAAAGATCCGCCGTCAAAACATCAGCAATGGTCGAAGAGAGTAAGTGAATTAAAGCACTAAATCTTGAAGCTACTAATACGAGATCCTCATAATAAATAGGCCACAGTTTTCTTCTACAAAATCAAGCACCGCAAAATCAAGTAAAGCCGTGTGTCGATGGGTCAGGCAGGAAAAAATAGTAAAAAGCCGTCAAAAGCATCGCTAAATCCCCCTTCTACTGAAGAGATTTTTTAGCTCCAAAATTAGAAAAAATGAGACAAACTATTCCCACGAGGTGTAATGTATCGCTCGGGCGAACTACTAATTCGAGATTCCTTTTTCAAAAGTCACTTGTTTAACCCTGGGTCCGGGTGATATCAAAATACAAAGCTAATTCACCAGCCGCAGCGCCGATACATTTTGTGGAATAGTTTGGTTCAGGGAGGTGTACCATCTCTTCATTGAGTCCATCACTTCTGTAGAAAAACAACCCTATTCTCACGGAGCTGAGAAAATGACACTTTCAATTCATCCAGTTCTTGACACAAAAAGTACCTCACTTATTGGAAAATTTGCGGTACTACCAGTAGTTGCCAAGATACAAACAATGCACTAATTACTTGGTCGACATGTTGAAGAGAAGATGGGAACAACGATGGGCGTAATCTAATGTTCTCCCCCATCACCTATTAAATCCCCACTTTGTTGAGCTTTTTCGTTTTGGCAATAGGTCTGATGGGCAATCTGTGATAGGTATTGGAAACACTGCCCGAATTGCATGGAGGTGTGGCGATTTTCAATTCGCTGACGGAGGTCGGTCTGACCTTCTCCTGCTAATGTGAGCCTGAAAAGGACGTTGCTCATCTGGCAAATGACCTCTTCCTCCGGCAACCATCCCAGTCCCAGGTTTTGTAGGAATACTATTAACAAGTGAAGCGTCATTTGCCGTGAACCACATGGAGAAGTTAGTTACAGAGCTGCCTTCGGTACCTGTATGAAGGTGCCAGTTGAGTAGCCTCGCGGTACCTCCTCCACCTCTCTATAGTTAAACAAAACCCAAACAGGATATGATCGATCAGTTCTAAAGTGATAGCGACATGGTAAAGTGGAAAGAGAAGCGAGTTTCGAGCTCTACGGAACCATGGTTGTTCCCTTCCTTTAGTATTTGACTCTGTTCATAGACCACTATTCCGACGACGAGCTATGGACAGGCGTGATAGTTCGCACATTCCCCCATCTCCAAATCTAGTTCCTAAAAAGGACAAAACTCCAACTACAGTAAAATTGCTGTTAGGGATTCGTGAGGTTGTGGTCAAGTATCACCTCAGTCGCATGGAATTTCTACGACAGCTACGGTTGGCTCATGGGTGCATTTCTGAAGTTGGAGGTTAACCAAGAGGAGCGCCAGAGAAGAGACTGAAAAGACGAGAGGGGCTATGGAATACGTGGTTGCTTGTTTAACTCTGGGTTTTGGCAAAGGGGCTACTTAGTTTCACCGCTAGTGTACCTTTGTCGGGTGAGCTGACCTCTGGCCTATTCCAGTGGCCTCAATTTCTACATTACGTCGGCAATGCATATCCATCCTGAATATTGTGTCTATTTTCGTCTTCAAAGAAGTCTCGAAACGTTTCGTTTATACTTACGGACAGTTCCTAAATAGGCCTAGGCAGTTCCTGAATGCAATCCATTAAAGAACGAATGACCATGTACATTAATAAATGAAAGTACAACAAATAAAAGTACTTAAACGAAAACCACCACCCGTAGCATAGAAACGGAAAAATAAAAGTCCTGTTCGTTTATTAATTTTAACAAGTCGTGTGACCGGATGACATTTCCTGTGGCCTAAAAGGAAAGTTTGTACAACGAAGCTGCTTGTAGTGCCTAGAGATAAATCATAAAGCACGGTGAACGAGGAAAGTGATTGCTTTGGATGAAATTTGTAATCCAGCCTAAAGCTGAGAGACTATTAGCCGCAACTCAGGAACAGTTTATAATGTTGTAGGCCAGGGAAATGGTTGCATTTATATTAAAATGGACATGAAAGGACTTGAGTCGAATTGTTAAAGGCATTTGTGATGATCGTTTACCTTCTGTTGCTTAGAAGGCATATAAAGAGCTGCGTTTATGAGGCTGGTTTTATGACAAGTGACATTATTGGATTGACCAACCTATACCGAAGTAATAACTTGTTATTGTGGAGTCCCCTGTCATCACAATTATATCCTCCACACATATAACGAAATCGCTACATCAGCATTGCAACTTAGATAAGTCCTAACCATAAAAGCGCTTACTCACTGCTGGGGCAAACAAAGTCTTTCTAATTAAAAGACCCTCAATTGGGTACATCTATCAGCGATTCTAACGCAGAACGATGAGTAGTCGTGACTGCAGAGCTTGACAATCCATAGAATGTACACATTTGCACAGTGGAGATTTCCGAAACCGCACCCCGGTGGCAAAACTTTAACTGTGCCAGCGTAGTCCAACTGAAAGCCTCACTTTGATTAAAATGACGCACCCTCACACTAGCCTAAGGCAGCATTCAGGACCTCAACCCACCGACTGTTGCAGTGTCAGGAAATTGTGACTAACCATACCTAGCATTTCCATCACCGTCCTGGTTGTCCGATTTCTGACAGTGTGAAGCGAATTGCGAGCGCGCTGCAGTCAAGTCCTCGTCGGCTATACGTGGACTGAGAGTTCATGACTCAGGGTAAATAGTGTCGGAAAAGCAAATAACTTTTCTCTAGTTTTAAATTTCAAACGTACATTGAAGTCGAGCATTCAATAATAGCTTGCACATCATTATACTCACCGTCATTGCTTTAACCAGGTCATGAAATGTCAAATCCTTAGTCTCTGTGTACCAGACTCGAAAGTTGTCTCACACCCACAAATTGGAAGCGTTGCCTTTTTAAAGAACTTTTAAGATTTCAGTGCTGTTGCGGAACGAGGCACCCTTGAGTTGGAAGTAGACTTTCAAATTAAAAAGAGGCGATTATTTTCGCATCTAAACAAAAACTGGTCTGATGGAACTGTGCAACTCCAAGGGAACTAATTAGGACAGAGAACATCTGAGTTTGAGTAACAGCTACAAAGAATTTGCCATGGGGAAAAGTAAAAGAAGTTAATTGGGCTTCCCTATTACTTTTCTTCGTGATGGATTAAAGTAGCGCTGAATGGTTCAATGATCATTCAGTAGGTGATAAGCTGATAAGTTCGCCGGCTCTCTACTTCACAATGCGTTATGAGTAGGTGGAAAGGGGCCCTAGTGAACGTGATGCCCATCATGCAAGGAGAGATATCCGTGTTAAAATAAGTGGGACTGGATGTGATTAAAGCCCTTACCTCAAAGACGATAACAACGTACCCAGTTTGCCTTAAAAATGCGACAAAGCGCATTCGCAATGCTCTAATTGTTTAGTAAGGAGCCAATTGGGGGTCCGCTGTTGTACTTGCATCAAGCATCCAGGCCTTCGGGCTATGTAGTAGCCTCAAGCCCTTCTGTGCATCAACAGTACATACTCTTCCCGACTATTGTCTACGTCCGTCTTTAGAAAAGTCGCAGGTGGGTACATTGGAGGCGGCTGAAAGCAAATTCTGTCTTGAAGGATATCCACCTTGGTACCTACTGCGGGGTGATTAACCTTAGGCAGATTCGGCGACCCCTAACAGAAGGGCTTATAACGATGTCCACCAGCGAACAGGCGATACCACCTCCACCCTTCCACTAGCTGGATGGAACTCAAATAGATATAGCCGGGCCGTACTAAAGTGAAAAAAAAGTAGTAAAAAGGAGTAGATGTAAAACCTTATCCCAAGGAACTGTTAAACTTCGTCCCTCATTAAATGAGGCTGCTTTAAGGCCAGTGTTCTTGCGAAGAGCTTTGGACATTCTAGATGGTCAGCACATTTCCCGCCCCTCATTATGTTTTCCTAAAAGGGTAAAACTCCAGATCCAATGGAATCGTCAATAGGTATCGGCGACTTTGCAGACAGATGCCTCCTCAGTTTCCAGCAAATTCGACGACTGGCTCAGTTGTCTCGCAGGTGTCTTTTTTATGGCACCAACTACCTTGTAATGACCAAAGGGAGAGCCAGGGGAGAGGTTTAAAGAAGACGACGGATTATGCAATGCTTCAACTATTTCTTTAACGCTTGACTTCAGTAAAGGGTTACTTAGGACTCCGCCGCTGTACAATTTGCTGGGCGGCTTAGCCACTGGGCCATACCAGTGGCCCCCAGCCCTTCTATATGTTTACAATATGTATTCTGACAGATTATTATGTCCTCTTTGGCCTTCAAGGAATTCTCGAGTAGCTACACACTAACCTTTACTGTATTTTAAGGTGGAATTTTCCTCGATGCTTATGCCTCCCATCGCATGGCCTCTAAGGTGACAGACGAAATAATGTGATTTTTTGATTAAATCACTAGGAGTCATTCAAAACAATACGGCCGAAAACATTGAGTTAACTTATCTACCGCGAAAAACCCTATGATATGTTTTGTTCGAAAGAGGACAAATTTTCTCCGAAATGAAGTAAATAGTTAATGCGGTACCATGTGTTTGTCACGACCCCAGTATCAGGCTTTTGTTAAATCGAGGTCGCTTCAATTCGGCATTTTCCGAGGTTAAAAGAAGGCCCTTCATTGACATTAATAAAATAAATGATCAAAACACAAGAATGCCTACTTCATCTCCCAGACTGACATAATACAAAGGTGCGAGTATGTCTGTGTTGACGACGTGCACCATTGGAAACTGTGAGCATTGCGGGGTGCCAGAGAGGCATAAATAAGGTAGCAGGGCAAACGGGTTAAGGCTCAGATCGTGCAGTAGTGACAGGAGGAGGGCGAGAAGAAGAGGAATCAAAGATTAGGGCGCATGCACTCATGTAGGGAGCAAAAGTGTCAGACGGGGCTAGAAGAAGTGTCTAATAGACTCCTTCATTGATCCCTCAGGATTGCTGCAAACTTTTCTTCCTTCCCCGCGGTGGATGTTGTACAGTCATTTCATCCATGAGAGGATCGTGCTGTAAAAAAGCTTGAAATATCTCATCTGTCTTTTCGTCTATTGTGTAATCTCGACGCATACACCTCGTTGAGGGTGAGAAACCGCCTCGAATATCAGCCTCTGTGGACTTGGACCGAGAGTGTAGATTACGACTCGGTGACTTGGAGCTCTGCAGCGAAGTTGACTGTGAAGAAGACCATGCGGACTCCACTTCAAGGCTTTTTCGGGGATGCAGTTCTTTACCTGATCTCTGTTGCATCTTCTTTTGAGCCAGTCTCTTAGTCGCCTCACGGTAGGTGTGCGAGTTGACGTAAAATGGGGCCCGGTGGTGACCCGCACTAAGAGCCGTGGGTCCCCCCATCGTAGGTTGCTGTTTTAGACAGTCAGCGCTGGTTGTAAGGGAGGTGGGTTTCAACTTTAGCAGGATGGGAGCACGTTTGCTCTCCCCGCCAGAGTCTGACCGAAAATGCTGTCTGCCACCGTAAGGCTGAGGTCCCTCCAGGTTGTAGGAATGTCTCTGTTCTTTCAAAAATTCTGCTGCAAGGTGCTGTGGATCACTGTTTGAGGAGTCTAGGGATAGAAACTCTGGTGTTCTGCTGTTATCAATCTCCACCTGAGCCGGTCGACTGTCCATGTTTTGTTGAGTTGTTCGAATAAAACAGTCTGTATCTGACCGATGCACTGTGGGTTTATTTGTGTGCTCCTGAGTGTGGGCAGCAAGATGGCTTGGAGAGTGTGAGGCAGCTCTGTGAACAACAAAGTTTCTGCTTGAAAAGTGATCGAATGATCGAGCAGGTTTGACCCACTGTGTGGGCTCAATCTTGGTTGCCACAATCACGGAAGCAGCGGTTTGATATTCTGGAGTTAGAAAAGTGCCCCTTTCTGAGCCAAGACTGCCTTGAGGCGAGGTGGTGCTGTGTTGCTGTTGGTGGTGAAAACCCTCCTCCATTGAGTAGATGGAATTCTGGCGCGATAGTTGTCTTGATGGTGAACTGACTGCCAACATATTGATAACAGACGATCCCACCACCTCCTCACCTATGTCCACCGCGGAAACGCGTCTAGACGCGGGGCTAAAAACGAGGTCTGGTGGGATGAGACGTGACGCCTGTGATTGCGGCTCGCTAGTACCCCCTTCACTAGCCCCCCTTTGAATCTCCTTATCAAGACGTCTTTGAAGCTCTTTTTCAAAAGTCTCACTTTTCGTCAGCATATCCAAGAAAGGCATTTCAGGGTCCCTGTCCGCAGTCAATCGATCGCGGCAAATCTGACGTGACAGACGCTCCTGCGTATACTGATGTGAATTTGGGTTTCGATAGGGTGATGCCAATAAAGGTGGACTGCCGCGACTTCTGGGGGTAATGGGCGGTTGTGGTGGGAGGGGAGAGTAACACCGACCGACCGCCACTTCGCTCCTCACATCCTCCACTAAAAATTTATTCATTTTGTGATGGGAACAACTGCAACACTCCTCGTTGGGCAAGTTTTCCGAGTTGTGCGGCGAATGGCAACAGTTGGGCAGAGTTACCTCTCCAGGATACATCATAACCATCTCAGTGTAAGAACTCGAAGTTGGATTCTTTCGAAGTTGACTGCAAGAGCAGGTGCAATTCGGCGAGCGATAGGATTTATCATAGTCCTGTCTCTTGTGATAAATGCAACAGAAAGAGCGAGCCGGGGCACTGCGTAGCTTTACATTGGGTTCAAGATTGTGGGTAGAATAATTGATGATAGCAGGTGATATCATGGGTTGGAAGGCGCAGCCACCATGTTGTTTAGCCATCAGTGGATTATCACTGAATCGCCTCTGAGCCGAAACAGGTGGTAGGAGCGACATAAAGTCCTCCTCTGGATTCTCCTCCAAGCTCTGCAACATGCTCATCTCACCAGAGTCAAATCCGAAGGAAGGAACAGTCAGCTCCTTCTTGGAGAGCGATTGCCCAAAGTTTTGGTGCTGGTGCTCTAAGTGGTTTTGGATGATGGCCTGACTCATTGGAGTTGTCTGTTTCCACAGTCGAGGCAGCTGCTTTTTGTGACCCACTTCAGACCCACAGGTAGAAACCCGTTTACCCGACTCACCAGAGGCCTGGTGGCGCAAATCAAGGCTCCTGTTCTCAACACCATTTTTGCTTTTGGCGGTACCCGTTCGTCCTGACCACCTAAAATAAAAGAAACATTTTCTTTAAACAAAGCCAGATACTAAGTTGATAAAACTATCTAGAAAATACACGAAGCATAATTCGAAAAATAGGTGCACCGATTAGGCGATAAAAACTCGGTAATGTTAACTTAGTCTTAAAAAACCAAAGTAAATATTAATAGGCTTAAAGGCTATGCAAGGGACAATGAATGTACCAAAGTTAAATAATAACTC